TACTATAGAGCTGGCAAGATTGACAAAGGAAAATGTAAAACACGTGGCACTAAAAGTGTAGAAAGCCCATATTCATCAGAAGGGAGTTTTGTGTAACTCCAGAAGAAGACAAATAGCTGACATGAAGATTATTCATGTTATTTTCATGGGTTATTCAAATTGACTTCATGTCGTTCTAAGCTCTGGAGGCTGGAAAATTGTCATTTGTTATCATGTTTTAAGAACAACTGATGACCAGTTTGGCAGGCTGGCTAACTGCTGATGGCTTCTGACTGTTTGACAAAGCTTAATCAATACCTCTAAATATTTTTAACAGGCAACTGTAACAATAAAAGTGAGCAATTAGAACCAGAGAATGGTGAGCCAACAGATACAGAGGGAACAGACATAGAGCCCTGACTGCTTGCAAACAGTCACAACCTACACAACGGCCCCCTTACCTTCACAATACACATTGAAAAATGGGTATTTCCAAGACCAACTGAATGCTCCAAAAGAAATGTCTCTCATTTATTTCCATGGGAACTACAACAGATACAAAGAGCACAATAACACTACTTGATAGATTGAAGTCTCAGTTACAAAACACCACTTTTTAACATGGGCACCACCATTAGCTATGCATTTTTGCCAGTGATGAACAAGAGCCTGCATGCTGCGCTTGTAAAAATCTGCACTGCTGGAGGTGACCGACTGCAGAAACGCATCATCCACCACCTCACTGTGCCCACATCCACTGTTTTGCCTCCACAAATGTTCAGCAAGTGTAGAATGTCAATGGGTGCACTTTTTCCCCCTACAAATGAATTCAGTGATACAACTTTGCCTTATTCTGTGTCAGATGCCATTCTATTAGACTACCCCTGTGCCGCCATGTGTCACATGGGAACAAAATGTAACACAATATTGGTGGGAAGGTTCAACCTGTACTGCCATGCCACTGACATCTGTCTCTGGGCCAACATCATGGGTCAACATAACCAAATAGGAGTCATTACTTAGCATCATAGAGTCATTAAGGTTGGAAAAGACCTCTAAGCCCACCTAGTCCAACCATCAACTCATCACCACCATGCCCCACTTCCCTTTTGGAACAGCCCTCATACTTCACTGCTTTCCAGAGATGCTTAAGAACAATACCTAAAAGCATTACTGCACAGATAAATATGGCTCATAAGAATCTAGTACTCCTTTTTTAAAAGACTGTTTGTTCCACTCTCATATCACACATATATTCATATCCAGGTATGTATTAGTGCTCTACTTTCATGCTGTATATTGCAGTTTTTAGAGCAAACACCATGCTGATCAGAATATGGCCTTCTCTTTTAACTTTGCCTTCTTTCTGCAGGCAGATTGAACACAGAAGTGTTATGGATTGTGAATCCTCGGTGAGCCCTCAGCTGTGTTTCACAAATGGGAAAATTAAGGCACTAAAAGCTCAGGCTGGTTTCATTGAGCCCACAGTAAATGTCGCATTAGTAACCCAGCCACTTTTCCCTCCTTCTACCATAAAGAATGAGAAACAAGGGGACCAGATTGCCCTGTCAAGGATGCCTACCTCTCCTCTGACGTTTGCATGACTTTAGGGTAAACTTTTCAGTATCTCTGAGGCACAGAGGGCACAAAACCTATCTTCTGCCCTCAGTGTATACACAGATGCCTCTGTGGAGAGGTAGCATTGCCCAGACAGCTCTTTCACCCTCTCAAAATCTGACTCTAACCTTGCAGAATTTTCTCCACTGCCATACACTGAGACAAAAAAACTATTAAATCTGGAAATATACCCGTAAGAGGCAAAGTGCTAGGTCACCAGCAGATAAAGGAATAAAAGCAGGACTCAGCTGCCAGCCCTCTGTTTCAAATGCCAGATCATGTATTTTTTAAATCCTCTTTAGCTTCTATATTCATCTTCATGCCAAATGGTACCATCTGACTGACATTTTTGACCTTTTCTGTATAGGAAGCTATGCAGGGAGAAATGGTGGGGACAGTCATTTCAGTACACACTGAGCTCCTAGTTTTTAAAATCATGGCAAGAAGTGAGATCCACTATGAAGGTGTTAAATAGTTAAACAAGAAAGAATGGAAAACTAATATCCATTGAAAATCAAGCCTTTTGTTTCACTTGTTGGAAGCAGAAATTTTCTTATCTAATCTTGCCCATTAGTTAAAGGCAGTAAACGTAATTCTCAATTTTCTCAGCAAAATTTATGATTTCTGTCACACTGCGGACAATAGACATTTCTTCTTTCTTTCAGGTGGCTCAACAGGCAAAGAAAAGAAAAAATTCCTAGAAAATGTCTGCCATTACTGAAAGAGGAAAATTGTAAAAGTGCAGCAAAGTCTTCAAAGGGCAGCTGGAGATTCTGAGTGAGAGTTCTGAGCCTGGCACACACAGGTCAGTCGGCACTTCCAGAACCTGATGCGTGTTTTTCTGGGGAGATGAAATAACTGCACAAGAACATGGTGCCAGGCACTATCTGAAACAGTTTCTCGAACGAAATGTTAGAGAAAGAGCTGGAAAATGTTTTGATCAAAGTTGTTTTCTCTACACTTGCTATAGCACAGACAACGAGTGGAAATAACCCTGGCTTTGCAGACGTGCAGTAGTACAAAATTGGCTGGAAGCAGTAAATAAATTTGAGGGCTTGGGGTGCTTTCCTATCATTTTGGTGTGATTTTTATTTTTTTTTTCTTCTTAAGTAAAATACAACCTACACCCGGAGGCTGTGCTCAGCTTGAATGCAATTCAACTAAATTCAGTGGGGTGCTAATATTTCTTCCTTGTTTTAGGATTATGACAATATCCAGTAACAAAACCCAAAAACACACAGTCAATAATCTTCAGAGGACCCTAGGGGCATTTCCTTCATCCACTGGTAAACTGAGGCACAGATTTAAACTAATAACATAAGAAAGCTTTCCTAAAGCTTTGTATAACCTGCAGATAGAGCTGCAGTTAGGGCAATCAGGCAGCGCTCTGTCATTCATTATCCTGCAGGCTTCACATCACAGACAGCTTCCCAAAGAGTCACACTCGGAAAGATAAATTTTCATAGCTTTTATTCATTTTCAGGACTGGGGGTCCTTGTATACAGTGACCAAAGTAAAAGATTTCTAGCCTACCAGATGAGCAACCTGTGAAGTATTCATAAGTGGAATAACTTCAACGTGTATCTCTTGTTGCAGACCTGGGTCAGAGCATTTGTCCTGAGGTGAAGTGGAATAGGCACAAAGAGCTGGAGATGCTGGTTTCAGTTTTCAGTGCTACATGTGGCATGGTTATCACAGTCTTCCTACTCACCCCATCCTTTAAATACAATCAGCTCAATTTATTCACTGCTCAGAACTCTACAGACAAGGAATTCATTCCTTTTGTCTATGGTGCCCAACTCTATATGACCTAAATCCCTTGCTGGAGCCCTTTAGAGTTATCATAAAACAACAGCTTTAATCTGCCTTATCCAGTCCTTGTGAATGAAGCTTTAGAGGGTATTTTTTTTTTTGGCCAGCTCTGCCAACTAGATACTTCATAAAGTGAAATAGAATTTCTGCTTCCTTCAGGGCACCTGCTTTCAATTACAGGAAACATACGGCACCTTCAGATTTTCAGCTTTCAACATCTGTGCTTTCCAGGTACAATTTGTTGCATTCAAATTACTGCTAAACCTCCAGAATGGTGTCTGGCTTTCAGGGGCATGCTTGAGAAACACTATAGATGGACCGAAAGTAATGGTATTTGCAATCGCTTTCTAATGACAGATTAATGACTGTTCTGAACAAATCCTTTAAGCTGCTCAGCAACCTCAGTCCACTCCTCTTGGAAGACCCATTCCACCCGAGCTCACTTAGAAATGTTATCCTTCCCATATAGCAGATGTACCTACTGACACTCCTATCTACCAAATACACTAGCTCACACCCTAAACACATTCTAAAAGGCACGCTATCACTAATTCCTTTAATAAGGAAAATTAACAGCCTATTACAAACTGTCAGCCACAGTCATGCTGGGATGAGCCGGTGACCACTACAGATTTGATTTCTTTTTCTGCCTCTGCAGAATTAATACATAAGTCAAGTCTATATGGGGTGTCTTTTGCCCTCCCACCTTTTCACAGAATCATTAAGGTTGGAAAAGACCTCTAAGATGATCTACTCCAATCACCAACCCATCACCACCATGCCCACTAACCTACGTCCCTCAGTGCCACACCTGCCCTTTTTTTGAACACTTCCAGGGATGGTGACTCCACCACTTCCCTAGGCAGCCTGTTCAGGACATCTAAGCATCCCCCAGCATTTCTACAGGCTGGCAATGAGTCATAGGACCTTGAATGCCCACTTCCTGGTCCACTGATTGCTGGAATCTCAGTTCAACCACAGTCCATCATGCTCTTTTTAGGTTACAAGTGCACAGCTAGCCCACTGGCTCCTTGTTTCAGCCATCACCACATCTCAGCTGTTGTCTCCCAAAACATGATAACTAAAATGTAGCTTGCTGACTTGCTATACCTAAGGAACGCAAATCCACAGATTCAAAGCTCTACCCACAAGATAGATAAGGAGAAGTAGCAGAGTGAAAGATGCACACTGTTGCTAAAGGGAAAAACAACAACAACAAAAAACAACAGGGGAGAATACTTTCTAACTAGACCTGCAAGAACTGATTTTTATTGATGAATAAGAGAAATGCAGCAGCACAGGACGCACAGCAACACAGTCTAGAAGATCATTTCCAGTCAGATATTACCAGGATCAAATTCAGTAGTTTTACTAAAAAGTGATCGTAACAATAGTATGTAGGTGTTTACATTACTTATGTTTGTATTTTTTATTAAGTAATCACAATTTAGTTGTATTATTTCCAATCATACAAGGAAAGGACTATCCTTCTGCTTATTGTAAGGAAGGGGATTCAGCTCTAGTGGAATTTCACTGAACTAGCCTAGCATGTCTGGAGGTCTGCTATGGAGGGATGTGCGCCGCATACTCACCCCTCTCCTGGTTGCATGGGCCTAACACTTCATGGGAGAGCAGTTCAGAATATAGTAGAAATCAATTACAATGCCTGGAGAAATCAAAGAGGAGCAGAATAAACTTAGAAGAGGAAACTGGGAAGCAACTGATATTGCTTACCTAACGTAAGGAAATTTCCCCAAATTAGTGCCATATGAGCCTCCCCAAGGCCTACAGTCTTATCCCTCAGAGCACGCCCATTTTATGCAAGCTCGTGTCACAATAATGAGCAGAATGTTATCAATCCACAGCATGGCAAATGTCAGTCTGGGTCACTTGAGCTCTGGACTTCTGTCTGCTACAGTTTTGTTTCGGAAGACTGAAGCAGTAGGATGGGAGTCAGACTCTTCTTTGCATTCTAAGCAGTCCGCATCTACATTTGGTTCAGGACTTCTAATTTAATTATGTTTGCACTTGGATGTAAGTTAAGTCACAGCTTAACCATTAACTGTGTTCTGCTATGGCATCCACCACTCTGTATTTGACTTCGCTAAATGCCTAATGTTTTGCAGTGAGTTTTTGATAAGTGAGTGTTTGCAGATTTTCAAGACAGACTAATAACACCAAAGGAGGATCCAGGAATGTTTTAAGTAAACATTATGTGTATATTTTCTCAACAGTGCCTGCCGACCAGCACCTTCAGAGCTGCATAATCTCACCTAAACTACGTTTGCATTGTTTGCACTAACTGGCGTAGTCCACACTACTCTAAGCAAACAGTTATTTGATTACAATATTATGCAGAGCATAATTCCAGGACTCACAGTCATGCAGCTCCAAAGAAGCAGCAGCTTCTATTTCTGTCCTGCAAAATTCCGCTTGCCATCATTAGATATTTCTTCATCAATCATAATGAAGACTGAGTAGATAAAGACTGTTACCTGAAGCAGGAACATTCTGGGATATTTTAAGAAACTCTTTGTTTTTCTCCCTCCACCTTCACTCTTTTCTATTGTTATTCTCTATTTTGTCCTGAAATTTACAAAAAGATGGATGCCTGGAAAGCAGGTCCAGCTGTAACTAATTTGAATGTGCAAGAACTTCAGAGCAGGCATCTTCTCTGACTGTGTCACGAGATGACAGAACATCAATACAGGGAAGATGGTCGAGCTTGGTGGCGAGCAGATGTTAGACATCTTAACTTTTTCTAGTAATTTATTATACTGTCACCTTTTCGGCTGCCACCAGCAGATGGCTTAACAGTTTGGAGTGATAGCCAAATTGAAAAGAATTTAGTAGCGCCATTGACATCACATTATATGGATGAGAACTGATTAGGGCATTATCTTCTCATCTGAAATACAAGTATTGAATTCTAGTCTCAGCCATAGACTTCCTGTGGACACATCTCATTTGGGGTATAATAACACTATACAATCTAAACTAAGTCAGCTGCCTATATAGAACATACATGAAACAAATTTAAGCTAAGCTAGTTACTCATAACAGCTGAGAAAGCACAGGCTCTGAAACTCATCTGCTATAGACAAATCTCTAATCTCTTTGGCTCAGATTTATTAGATCTGTGTGTCCAGGATTTCCTATTTAGCCTGTGAAAAGAAATAATCAATTTAGATGGCAATTCAGACTTCAGGTGGACTAAAATGAAGGCAGCAATGTCTCTCCATTGACTACAGTGGCATCCTAGGGCAACTGTAGATAAATACCATCTATCTGCAAAGGAGGGTAACAGCTTTTTCACAGCAATATCATGAAGACAAATGGAATACATATGGCTTAGAAGAATGGCAGCAATTACCTACCTCAGTTAGATCAACTTTCTTGTTTTCTGTTCAACCTGTCTACTACTGGTAAGGCAATATAAAATGGCTCTGTAAAGTGTTCCTTTTCTATTTCAGCAGTTCAAGGTGTCGATAAGATCCTAAGATCAAAAAGGACATTCTGTGTCACCAAGCTTGGTCCCTGGCCAAAAACGGGTAAACCCAAATAATGATCTCATTCATCAAGTTCAAGCCCTGTAGCCCAGTAAATACTGTATTGCCACTGCCAGAAATAGCCCCAGGCTTTGTGCTGAGCCTGCACAGCCTTGGGATCAGGCTTGTCTACACTTGTGCAGCCCAGCCTGGAGCTTTGCTTTAGCTGCTGCAGCAATTTTCCTAATGACCAGGTGGCTGGTGCCTAATTTATTTTACTTTTGCTTATCTTCACATATTCGTGTGGTTTCAGTGCAATTTTGATACAGACAGTAGTAACAAGTAGTTAGCCTGTGTAGGATGAAATATTTACAAAGCCATATAACCACACAGCACAGAGTAGCACAGATACAGTATAGCTGCCTCAGAAAGGTGACATGCAATGCAGCATAGAAGAGCTGAGGCACGGGATGGGATCAGACGGAGTATAGAGTGACGGCGATAAAAATTCACCCCCAAACAGTTGAACAAGCCCATGGTTTTAGGGATAAGAAAGAGAAAATATGTAAGGCAATGTTACACACCGCATTCAGGAGTAAGGCAGTGTTACAATCCAACAAAGAAAACAGCTGTAAAAGCATGTTAGAAAAAAAAAAAAAACAAAACAGCCTAAGTAGAGCCCAGACTGAGGAAGAAGAAAGCATCAACATCAGCATCATGCTTGTTATAGCACAGAGGAAGAAGCCCTGACATCAACACACCAATCCCAATGTGGGCCTCGGTGCCTCAGACCATGCTGTATCAGTTCCTGAGCCCCAAAATTAAAGCTACTGCCCACAGAGTGCAGATGAGCAAAACATGACAAAAAGAAGTGGAAACTCAGACGTGTATAAAATGTTTTTAAATCTATTATTATTACTACACCTGTAACACTATTCTTTCTTCTCAGAGGTAAATCTGGACTGGTAATAATTCTTTGACTGAAATGTTAACATTTTAATTACGTTAACAGTAGGCTTTTGCTTTTAGACAGATAGCCTATTTCATCTGGCCTGTAAGAACACTGCATGTACCAAAGCTCAACATTAAAGCTAGCTACACCTCTTGCTTTCACTCCTCGCACAAGACAACCACTCCAAAAATTGACCCCCTTCAGAAAGATATATTGATTTTCAGCATAAACATCACTGTTTTGTACCCATCACTGCCTTGTGCTCCTCTGCGTGCCTTCCTATGTCCCTGCACAGAGCTCACACTGCTGGAGGGTATGGTAGGGCCCAATCAAGACAAAATCTTTTTAGCCTCATCGTGTGGGATGGACACTGCCCCTCTCACCTCTTCTTCTCACTGCAGAAATTCCAGCACAGAAATACAGATTATTCAATAAGTTTACAATTACCTTTTCCCTCAGTTAAGATAAGAAGTGCAGATATGACAATTTTATGCTAATTGCAAGCATTTGGGTTTGCTAGAGTAGTTTTTGAGTAGTAACAAAGCGAGATGTAATAATATAACAATTATGATAATATGTTAATAGTTTTAATTGAAGTAATTTCTGTAGACAATAAGAATTATACCCTAATGTGTTAATTAATCTGATTAGGAAATGTTGTGAAAATGAGTATGTAAAATGATATCAGAGGATAGCAGGAAAGGCATGTTTTACAGGGAGAGTGTTCCTCGGGGTAAGATTTATTGATGGTAGCTCACAAGGCTTCGGCAAGGTAAACAGCTGTTTTGGTTTTAGTTATAATGAACATTAACTCTACTTCCCCATTTCTACTTAATTAAACCGCTGACTCTGCAGCCAATCAAGAGAAAACAGAAAATGGGCACTAATTGGGTTCTGTGCACTTTCGATCTCATCTTACATCAAGTGGTCTGGCTACACCACCAAAACTGCCTCAAAAACACAAGCTTCTCTCACATTTTCTTCTGCCAGCTAACCCAATGGTTCCTTTGCTAGTCAAAGCTAAATTACATGTATTCAGCAAAAGAAGACTGGGCCAAGCAAAAGCCCTGAAGGATGTACAAAGTGAAAATTTAAATTAATCATTCAGGTAACCACTTCGTTATTTTTTGCTAACAGTTCAAAGCAAAGAACATTGAAAACAAAGAAAGAAACTCACAAAGCACTCTCTCCGACACTCCTGAAGGAGGAACCAACAGCAAGTTCCTGTGCTTTTTGATTAGTTTTACCTTTTGCAAAGCAGGATCAGAATGGCACTGGCACGAAGTTAAAAACCAACTGAAAGCATGCTGACGAGATGGAAAGAAAATGGCACGCAATGTGCACAGTCGTAATAAAACCACTGGAGATAATAGAGAAAACCTTAAATCTATGCTTACAGAGCTCTGTAAGAGCAAGCTGTCTCCTACACAAAATGTCCCCTCTTCCTCTTTGTGACATGCGCCGTCAGCTCCGGAGTGCCTTCATCTGAGAGGAACTGGGGACTCGTGTGACAGAGCACAGGCTTCTCCTAGCACACTTACAGGGCAAAAAAAAAAAAAGAGGAACTTATGCCCTGGAGGACAAAAGATAATTTTGCATTATTCTGTAAATTAATCCTTAAAACAATACAATGAATAGGATAAAAAAAGGATTGAAATACCTTACAGTCCCTTGCGTCTGGAAGAGACAGCCGTGCTCTCTCTTGAACAGTCTTACTTTGTGAGCGTGCGCAGGAAGGTTTCTGTCAGACCTACAACCTTTATCTGAGCTTCCTTTGTGGTTATTAGCAATACCAAGAGCATCGCTTCACCATTACGCTTCAACCATTTCCTTGCCGGTGAACTCACTTCCGCAGCGAGCTCTCCCCTTCGTAAACTTAATAGGCAAAAACTGGGTAAAATGCCCTGTAGATTTTACGACAATCAATAACCTTTAGTATAAATATGCACAGTAACTTGTGCTGTGGCAGCCGCCAATTGGGATAAGCACACAAAGAGGTTCAACTACCAAAAGCACCATTTTGTGGCTCTCGGAAGGAAGTGGTAAACACTGGTAAATGCTCGATCTCTCCTCTTCATGGGAGGCTGCCTACCTAAGCCCTGAACTGAGAGCAGACCTTAAGTATAAATCACTTAATTGCTCATTTTATTTGATGCCCAAGTACTTCACACTAATGAAGTTAAGCATTAAAAGATTACAATGTGACAAATTATACGCCCATCTCATAAAAGAAATATTACCGAAACAGACTGAGATCTGAAAGGCTCTCGATAACGTACAGTGTAAGTCTAATTTTAGATGATTCCTCAATCACTGGAGAGCTTGCAGTATACACAGCCAGTCCAGCTCAATCAACTGACTTTTATCTCTATGACTGCAGGTCACATTATCTCATGAATGAACTGTTATGTAGGTCAGTCAAGAGTCATCTTCTAATTGAATGCACGTTTCAGCCTTGGCATTTATGCCCCAGATATCAAGACTGTGGACAATTGGTGAAGTCGGAAGAAAACGTTGAAGTAGGATCTGTGATAATTAGCCTTTGTATCAGACAACAAGCATGCAAACAGATGTTAGCTGAACATTGGAGACAGTTGTTTGCATTTTAACTGGATTTAACACAGGTGGAAAGTGTGGGAGCAACAGCTTGCTGAGGAGAGGTATTTCGGGTTGCAGATCAGATTTTAGCCACAAATCAAGCCCCATCTTTCTAACGAAACTCAGCACAGCCATGAGGTATATTGGGCTGCGTTGAGATGTGCCAAATATATGCCTGCTTATTTGCAGTAACTGATACACCAGCTCCTCTCACTCCTTCCCACTGAGCAGCCATCAGCAAGGGTGAGTTGTGGTTGCTCCCAAAAGAAGGTGGATTTGAGACAGTGGAAGAAAAGTTTACACTCTAGCTCCAGACTCCTATATAATAATTGTACTTGCATGTTTTAAAGATAGAGGGCTTTGGGAAGACATTCTTATATGGCTTGTGGACTTTTCGTTTAACTTCACAATCAGGGGACTGACGTAAAATACATTTGAGTTACAGCCCCTGTAACATCTGGGTAAAATGAGGAGTGTCAGACTGAAGATGCTCCATGAAACTAAAGCAAGAAATTCACTGCTTTACAGAAACACTTCTGAGCAGACATTTCATTTCCTGTTCAATCCAAGTTATTATAATTTAGATGTAAAGGCAAAATTGCAACTGATTAAAATTGGGTCGGCAGCAGCTCCCATCTGAGGAAGCTCACGATCAGATAACAACCAAGCTGCCGAAATGCAGAGCTTCTCATACTTCACAACTGTTATTCACATCCATACAGCTATTACCAGTTGCTTTATCTATTTCCAGAAATACTCCCTGACTTTGCGCTCCCCCAACTTTAAAAGTCATTTGCAGCACACAAAGGGTTACCGGTAGCAAAGTGAAAGCAAAACACCCAAGGCCAAGCTTTCCCCCATAGCCTGCATACATGGTTGCATTTTCAGCTCCTGTGTTCTGACAGCTGCTATCTTCAAGTATGCTGCGACATGCCTATTGCTGTACCAGCAGTCCTTTTGTTCAACTCTGAGCTTGCTTTTTAAGGCTTTTAAACCTTGGTGCATGGGAGGCGGAGAAGGGAAGACGTGAAAAAACAGCTATTATATGGAAGATAATTTTGGTTGGTTTTCTTTGCTATCTTATGCCCCACCCATTTCAAAACAAGGAGTTATAAAGAAGTACAAAAGTAGCTAAAAAAAAAAAAAAAAGAAAAAAAAAGAAAACAAACAAACAAACAAAAAAAACACCAGAAAACCCTCTCCCCACCTCCAGCAAAGCCTTTCCCTCAGTGTTGTTCTCATCTCCCAGCAACAACTGCTTCACACTCACGTAGTGGGATTCTTAGGAGGATGTGAAAGCAGTTACAAACATCTGTTAATTAAGGCTCAATTTGCATCTGAGATGGGTAATATACTAATTTTACAAATGGGTATGTTGAACCACACAACACTGGAAAAAGCTGGCCAACAAGAGCAAATGAATGTGCACTAGAACAAGGGAGACTCCATTTCCTTATT